ATCAAGAGAAAGAAAACAGGAGCGACAGTTATGAGATACACTTAGGAAAACCGAACCTAGAACATCATGGACTTACAACTCATCATTTACATTTGCTAATGTCGTTGATGATACGTGCGTGTATTCATATACACGCAATTTATCACCAAGAAAAGGGCTATTTGATCGTGCATGCACTTTCCTTTACTTAAATCGAATGTAAAACTTTATATATCCAACGACGGTTTTTTAGAGGAAAAAGCAAGTGGATAATTCTAGGCGGTAAACGTTCAAAACAAAACGCTCGTCTACATGAAAGTGAATTTAAGGCGGTGTCATTGATTATCTATCTCAGCGGCTAAGTTTGCTAGTGGTGCAAGCTGTTCTAAGTAATGAATGATAAATGACTAGTTAAGTATATCTTTTGAAAACGGTGCCACTGATTTCCGGTTGCATATGAAGACTCTTATGAAATTCTTCCTCTTTTCCCGTTTTCTTTCCCGTCACAGTTAAGGCGCATAATACCAACCTATATAGCAAGCTGATTTGTAGAAAGTAAATGTTTTATACAGGCGCACATAAAACGTAGGATCGTAGGGACTCTCATGTTAGTCTTAGAAAACAAGGTCATTCGTCAGTGCGAAAGCACCCTGAGTAAAAGTAATAACATCCAACACAATTTCTATTCGATAAACAAGCGCCTTCAGATTGGTGTTTATTATAAACAAAAATTGCAAATTCCATTCTGTGAATTATGAGGGATTAAATAAAGAAAGTAATGCTTTTAAATTTAAAAGCGATTCCAGATAACGTGACCACACTATAACATATTATATAGATCCTTTACAAAAGCTGGCCTTACCCTCTACAGCCGTAGGAGAGGTACCGTTTCCAACTAGGAAACCTCATTAGGGTACATAATTAAGCTATGGAAAAAACTTTATAATTCCTTAGAAAACATAGTAGAAAGGTTTAGGAGTAAAGTGCTTTTTATTCACTTTTACTTTGTTGCTAGAATGACTCGAACCGCGTATGAAATCTCCAAGATCATACGACGTGAAATTATACACTTCGTTCTGTGAAACTATGTCAGTACGTTATAAATACTATAAACAAGATCATGTTCCACGCATATATATATATAAAGGACACAAGGACCGATCGAACGCGGTCTAATCTCATCGTCTGCTACGCGAGGCACCGCGGACGAAACAGGTATAAACACAGATGTTTAGCTACAATAGAATACGAGAGACGTACGCTCATAATGATCATGATTGCTGCTTGCTTCAGTGGTTTGTTAGTTTGTCACCTGGCACAAGTGTTTTTGGTCCAGCGCCACTTTTGTTCCCCGTTACTCTCATCCGATGAATTTGTCGGCTGTGTCCGCTGTTGCTGGCGGCAAATGGTACAATAATTTCTTCGGCAATCAATAGCAGAAGGTGCATGATACTAGGTAAATTATGATCTAATCGAGGTATCAAAATTCACTGCTTTGAGCTTCTAACGCATCAGTTAGTCAACACGTAATACGAAAAGCGTATCATACAAAGGCATAGGCTATATATATATATATATATACATATATATATATATATATATATATATTTCTCGCGTTGTTACATCTTGTAGAATCTAATGTATGAGTATCAAACATAGAAGAAGTTCGTATTTTCTGTATAGAAGTTTGTTTCTCTTCATGTTTTCCATGTCACGACTTCCTGAGGAGAGAGCTTGCTGCGTCTATAACCATTATTTTGTGCGTTAATTGTTCATTAATTTTACCTATTCTATTTTTAGCGTTATACGATTGAATCTCGTTCGTGCATTATATCAGCTTTTGTATCTCCGTTTCATACAAATTTATTATGTTGGACTCACTGACCGTGGGAGGGGGTAAAGGTGATGCTTGTAGCACTTGGTTCGCCATATACGACGAGCCACGCGTCGATCAGTATCACCGCAATTTCTATCACGGGACGGCGCGTCACAATCTGCGGATTGCGTTATATTAAGCACGTGCGGTTCTATGTATAATTAGAAATAACTCTAACGGCATTAACAATGTCCGTCGGAGAATTCCATTAGAATACATTATGAATACTCGGCCCAGCGAACGATTGATATATATATATATATATATATATATATATATATATATATATATATATATGAAGTAAATCATACGATTTATTTGATTTAACTTTTAAGTCTGAATTACTGAACTCCTTGACATTCACTCAGTTCTCAAGGGGCATGTGCCAATATGAAGCCTTTGCCTATAATTGGGTCAAGTACTTTTCCTTCAATCATAGGTAAAAAAATCTTTCGATCTTGTACCACAAACACGTTCATAATTATGTAGGGAGGACTTTTTTTCTTCAGTTTTTAGCAGTTGATTATGCTCGCATCGAGCAGTGCTTGAGTAAAATTTGAACTTAGTAATAACGACGCGAGCTCTGTTTGTCAACTTAATAGACACCGTTGTTACCACGACGCCATTTCCAAAGCCAGCAGACCAACATATTCGTCCTAAAATACCCTAGGTGTCTTTCTTTCAATAGGTTACCAAGGTGAAAATAAGTCTGCTTGCTACTAGAACTATCTTTTTTTTACTCATTCTGTTGATTACAACTCTCTAACCAAGTTTTAGGTATCGAAGATCGGATAGTTAAGTGAATTCAGTAATAATCCATAGCTATCTTTGTTAACTGGTACTTTTCCTTTGTAATAAATATACTTACTGAATATCCCATGCGATAACAGTGCGCTTTAGGTCAATTTTTTCAGTATTTTTTATCGCCTAGTATACGACTTAACATATCCATCTTTGTGCCACTTGTTTGTCCAGAAAGGGCCATGCATTTTATGTCCTCCGAAAATGACACTTGATGCTCCTCAGAGGCCAAAAATAGTTAAAACATCCCGCAATGATACAGCTGTTATGCTATTGTCCTGAAGGTAAAAAGGGTCTGCCATAGATCCGCTCGTGAAACTGTTCCATACCATTTACCCTTTCAAGCGTTACTTGCTTGATTCGGTTTCTGCGATTCCGTAACATATCAGTCAAATTTACTCTCCGACTGGATATAAATAACCGCGCTTTCATAAATATCATTGGATCGAAAAGTAGTACATTTTACATCTTTTAGCTTGTTTTTCACCAAATTCACAGGAGAGCGGATTAAGAAGAGTAGGAAAAAGCCGCTAGACATTCTGTTCTACAAATGCCGGGAATACGGGTACTGACAGAGAGGCAAAATTTGTAGAAACTAGTCTGATAGAACTTGAAAATAGATTTTTCGGAACCCTTCCAGTCACGACCGCACATACTCGTAGTGTACGTCAAATCCTTTTAAAATAAAAAATCTTCTTAACCTGAGTTTTTTGCATTTAAATGCATCATCGCAAAAGTGTTGAGAATTTTTAACAAACTATTGCTCTTTCAAACGAAAACAAACAGCGATGTGGATAAAGCGGTTTATAATGGCCATATAAAGAAGCATTGCCCGTATTGGTTTGGTCAAACTCAAGCGATGTTAGGTTAAACCAAGATTTGTGGAGGTTGTACGCCTGCTAAGACGGTATTAAGACAAGGACGGGAACTTAAGACTGGAAAGGCCTCGTTTCCGACACCGCAGGGCATATGCTATTCGATGCAACCTCGTACTTTCAGATTCATTAATACTAAAAATATTAACATTAGTGATTAATGTGAACGGATTTCTGATGTAACAATTTGCCAGCACAGAAGAAGTTCTGGCGTATCGCATTGTCTTACAATGACAGGTTGCATTTGACACATGTCATACAAGGATTAGCTTTTCTAGATAAATATAGTGTCATAACTTTCTGTTAAAATTATCCTTTAATGTTCGATTGATTTATAGTTTAGCATTACCTCCTGCAGCTTGAAAAAACCATACACTTGGCGCTCTGGAATGAACCTTTTTCAGAAATAGAGGATCCTTCATTTAAACAGCGCAAAACATGCTCCTCCAACTAAATAGATTCAATTAGTATCACCATGACACTCGGGCTCTTAATGTATATCGCACTTTATTTCAATTTAATTATAATAATTGATGTTTGTTCACTTTTTAGAATGGCCATGAAAAAGAACATTAACAGTATAGAAAAAAAAATTGGCTTAACAAAAGACCCAATAATTTCATATATATATATGTATATATCTGTATTAACCTGATTTTTTACATGTATATGTACTGCAATTTGAAACAAACCTAGGCAGTTTTTGGAAACGTTCCTCAACAAAAAATTCGACATAAGCATGCTACACGCGGTTAATCTACTAAGCTAAAAATACCACTGATCTTAATAGCTGCTAAATAGCTGAATTTACAGGAGTGTAAATAGTTTGTAGTCGAGGTCTTCGGATTAGCTCTTTTTTTAGATAAGTCAATGATCTCTTTGTATGTCCAAAAATTTCTGACAAGCTTAAAGATTTTTTGGGCAAATATTGACATTTTCCATAGTTTTTAGCATATCATGTAAGCCTGATCCATTTTTCTTATTAGCTTAATAGTATTCTCCATTAACTATAAATTAAACAAGTAGTTCAAAAGTTTACGAGCATTTTAGGTATATTTTAGCTGTACTTTTTTACGGTTTATGATGTCAAAAGTTACTTAGGTTGATTTTCTATTTGTTGAACCTAAATCTATTGCATTTACTGAAAATGTTTGGAGGAAAGGTCTTGATTTTTGACGATTACATAATGACATAAAACGAGAAATTAGATGAAATATTGAAAAATCTAAGCTTTAAGGAATTGAATAGTGTAATATGTAGCATGTGTATTAAATTTTTTTCATTATTTCTTGAACTATAGAAGGCAAACCGTGTAGTGCCTGGACACGGTACAAGAACCTGTTGCAAGGCCAAAAATAGGCTGACACCAGGCCAAAATCAACACAAACGAAGACAAAATTCTGTCGCCTTACCATTTAATGAAAGAGACTGAAAAAAACCATTAAAGTGAGACCGAACACAAAACTTACCCTCTCAGATAGTGGAATGACATCCCGACCCCTTCGGAGGGTCGGTGCTCGAATCACAGGAATTGACGAGTTCTGGCTGTTCATGTTGTTGATGCTATTGTTGCCACTGCCAATGCTCATAGCAATGTTATTTTCCGCTAGCGACGTGGAAACCAGCCCTAAATTTGGGGGGTGTCCGCTCTGCAACAGTGATGAAGAGTTATCGGTATGTTCGCCACTGCTCAGAACAGCCATCCCAGACGCACCCCCCAACCCACTGAGCATCCCGTGTGTTCTGTTAACCGACTTCCAGGAGTGACGATCGCCGTAATACGTTCGGTCGAGGTGAACCCCCGAATCGAACGGAAGTCTGAAGAGAAGCGCCTCCTAGAAAGGAGGCGCTTGTGTAGCCAACACAGTTTGTATTGTAGAAATAATCCGTCGCTCACACAGAAGCAGGAAGCAACGAGGCAGATGCCACAAGGGGGCTTGATGTCAGCTTCGTCTCCTCATCATGTGAACTGGATAAATCTGCAGAACAGAGAAAATAAAAAAATCAGGTAAATTATAGTTGTAGGGAAGTCGAACAAAATTCAACTAAGCCCGTTCGTATGTAAATGTAAAATCACGAGACTCGTAGGTATTGTAAAGAAAACGCATTCGCGCCAGATCTACGATGGCTATTTAAATTGAAACTCAGCATACCATAATCAAAACATGTAATTTTGGTAGTATATGTACTGACGTGTGATGTCAACAAATAATCCTAAATAGATCATTATAAATAGATTGTTATTCTAGCCACTGACACGTTGGTGCATGGCGCATTTCTTGATGAAAAAAAATCCTATGCTGTGCTTTTTTCATGAACTCAAGTTCTGTATTCTTTTCGAATTTGTGACGCAATAAGTGTGAGATGTTATCATAAATTAAAGCAGAACTACCGTAAGTCTGAAAACATGTTGCTGCGACACAAAATGCTGATAATACATCTTCCAGAAAAACATTCTTTTCAATCAGTCCGCTTTTCAAAGAGCACTAACTCTATTCACGCGAATATGTGTACTGTTTAACAACATTTGTAAAGACCTACAAAAGTTCAACACTTGAAAAGACTAGAAACCCAATTTTAAGGACTTGAATAGAATAAATCTTGAAACTACTCGATAGCAAAAACATACCTACAAAACAATCTATTCGAATTGAGGCGTTTTGGCCCGCTTTTTGTCAGAAAACCAGAAACCGGCCGCCACATTAAGAGTAGAGTAGTTTGTTGCCAATCGGGTCGTCTTGATAAATCCTACAGTCGCTTTTTCTCAGATTTTTTGCACCTTTTAAGCTATTTAGGACCCTTGGATTTTTGGAATCTTTAATTGGTAAATTTTGTTTGCCGCATGTTTTTGTATTTCGTACAATGATATCGCTTTACCCAAGGCTACTAATACAAATTAATTCGCGAATTTGAAAAGGAATTATTCGGAAGCCCTTCTAAAAAGCTTAGACACCGAATTGCAGCTGTCGTAGAATTGAACGAAAATAAGCCGTCGATAACAAATGCTTGCGTCATACAAGCAAAAAAAAAGAATCCAACTGTTTTCAATTAGGTACAAGCTTATCAGAAAGCTACATCGAAATCCTTGAATTAGATAATGGTAAATGGCAAAGGCTCTACAGGGCTAAAGTCTATACAGGTAAGTATCTTAACAACTTGATGTACGCATTTATGTAGAAGGGATCGTTAAATAATTCGTCGCTAGCCAATTTGCTTGACACTTAATCAGCCGTTTCTTCAAATGAAACAACTATACTAAGGCCAAGTATATTAAGTAAACATTAGCATAATTAATTTTATTGACATGTATATGCAACTGCCATTTAGATACCTTAGATAAAAGATCAACATAGTACCTATGAGAATAACATCCTACGTCTTTTAAGATCGTCGCACAAGTCACAAGAAAAAAATGTTTGATCGATTATTATTATTGTTTTAGCAATATTTACACACTCACAACTACACAATTTAAAAAACTAAAAAATTTAACGGAACTTCAAATACAATTTTCAAACATACCTCATTCATCCTCGTCACCCATGGGTTCACATCTGCTAACCGTACTGACCTTTTTCTTTTTTCAGGTACTATCAAAAACCTATATTGTTACCATATTTCACACATAAATAGAGACGAAAAATGGTCCTGTTTCCGTTTTTCAGTGAATTATGTACGACTAAAATATATAATAGTGCTAATGTATTAATCTAACGCTTATAGTACGTTGGAGTATTCGGGGCAAGCAAGATAATTTGGATGTTTAAGAGTCTTAATAGGCGCACTCCTGTAGCGACTCACTGTGCTTAGCAGAAAAAATTCCATGTGATTAACAAACTTCTTGCTAAAATAACTCAGATTAGTATAAATCTATCGATGTACAAGCTAGAGATTTCATCACGTATTGTTAAATTCTTATCTAGGCTCGATTTAAAGAAATATTTAAAGATCGTCTTCACACGCAACGTCGTTACGAATCCCAGTCGAGGCTGTGTAAACTGATTGTCAAGATTTGACCCCACTCGTATCCTACATTCCTGAACAATTTGTTCTTAGCTAACGTAGGAATTTCGTATAGACTAAATAACAGGCATAAAAAAATATAATATCCTTATCAAAAATTTTTACCAAAGACTGAACATCTACCGGGCCTAAACCTGTATCAACCAGTTTTGACATAGATGGTACCGACCGGAGACCTGCTGTGTACGACAAGTCCAGAGAGAGCTATACGAGCATATTTCTTCCAAAATGAGTCAATTTTATTGTTTGTATATATATATA